AAGTCATTGATGCAGATCTTCCATGTGCTGAATCTCTCTCACAATCCAAACTCTTTAGGAAAATCGCGGTCCATCTTAAGGGTTATACCAGATACTTGCCTTTTCTTAAAATCAGCTGACTTGGAACATTAATTACATCTATAGGAATCCTTCATAGCAGCACTCAATTTAGTGTTTACCTGAACAGGCAGGACACAGTATGTACACTCAAGAGTAGGCTACTGGGCCCCATCTGAGGAGCACAGAACACAGGTAGGCAGGAGCCCACTGATGCAGGTGTGTCATCTTGCCCAGACTTTATCTTTCTCTGTGCTCAGAGGCCCTACAGAAAGGTATCCATCCTGGTACTTGAAGGCCAATGATAACATGGTGGTTAAGAATTTAAGAGTGGGGTTTGGAGAGCAGGGAGTGCGACTCCATAGAACAATGACTGCATTGGTAATGTGCTCTACAAAGCACAGAGAATGGGATAGGGTATCCCATGCTGGTTCCCCATCTTTCTCCTCTTAATAAGGTCTCTGTGGACAGCATCTGCACCAGAAGGTGTGAGCTGGGCAGGGACTGGATTTGCCTTTCCCCCTAGTCTTGTGTTTTCTGCAGAATCTGCTGCTTTTGCAGGAGGAGTTGATTCCTGAATAATGAATTATCATTCCCTTTTCATTTCCAGCCCTCTTCATAAATGTGCTGTTCTTTTTCTACTTACAAAGGCTCAAAAAATGGAAAGAAAAAAAGAAGTTTCTTCTTTCATCTATAGAGGAAAAAACACAATCTTACCTAACAACCCCATCTCATTCACAAAGGCATTAATGATTGATTTAATTTATTCAATTTTTGTCTTTAGAGTTATTTCATTTCTTCCTTGACTGGACAATCATGTCTCTAGTGAAGTGAAGCTTCACTAAGTAATACTGAACAGGGCTGCTTGGTCAGATCAAAGTTCTTGTCCACTTAGGAAGCTGTTTACTCTCTGATGGGCAGGAAGGGGGCATAAAGAGGGAAATGAGGGCCTCCCTGGTGGTGCAAGGGGTTAAGAACAGCACTATGAAGCTATCCGCAGCCTCTCCAGCATGAGTTTGAGCTCCAGCTGGCCAGGGAGCTACCCCCATGGTGCAGCAGACCTCTCCTGACTTGCGCGCTGCTCCCCTCAGCAGTGTATTTAAGTCTGTCTGCCTGTTCTGCTCCCCACTCTGTCTCTGGTGCATCCTCTCACCTCCTGCACCTCTGGCCTATACCCGAGCTCTTGTATGCATAAACAAATCTTTTTTAAAAAAATGAGGGAAATGAGTGTTCCCTTCAAGGAGAATAGAGCTGTCAGATATGGAAAAAAGCTTGGAAGTCCTCATGGTGCCCTAGGGGAGAGCTGCCCTACACACAGGCTGGGGAGTTCCAAACAATACTAGATCCTTTCTCCCAGGAAGGAGGGAAAACGCCATGAGAGGGGAGGTCATGGACGAGGCAGGTAGCCCCGGAGATGGAGGGGTAATGTCACCTACAGACATCTGATTTAGGAAGGCTAGAGTTCTTATGTGGTAAGCAGAAAGAACCTGAAGGTGTCATCATGAAGAACACCTGTGGCCCTAGATCATCCTTACATTACTACATTCCAGTGATCAAGAGAAAGGGAAACTGACAAATGGCTGCTTCTGTGGTGTAACTACTTTAGAAGTGCCCCTCCCCCCGCCCCCAACACCCAAGGGCTAATTATAAGCTGCAAAGCATCAAGGAGGCTCCATGGCAGGGATCTCACTCTGTGAGCATGTGTGAGGGTGTGTGTGTGAGGGTGTGTCAGAGAATCTGTAGGAGTGTGTGAATGTGTATGTAAATGTGAGTGCATGAAGGTGTGTGAATCTGTCTGTCTAAGAGTGGATGTAAATGTGTGTATGTATGTGACTGTGTGAGTGTATGTTAGAGTACCTATGTATGAGTGTGTGTATGTGTGTGAGGAAATGTGTATGTAAGGTGAGTGTAAGGTGTGAGGGGGTGAGCTGTGTATGACTGTGCATGAGTGTGCATGAGTGAAATGTGAGGGTGTGTAAAAGTACCTGTGTGTGAAAGTATGTCAATATGTATGTGTGAGAGAAAATCTGTGAGTGTGATGTGAATATGTGTGTGTGAAGTTAAGGGTGTGTGTGTAAGGGTGTGTCACATGTGCGCATGGTGCTGGTGGAATCATGCCAGGCCAGGCTACTTGAGTGGCTTTTACACCGCTACTACAGAGAATTGGGGGGCAGGGGAGGAGATAGGGAAGGCAGCCTATAATGAGGAGATTCCAGGGGTTTGTGTGTGAAGAACAGCGGCACAAACTCAGAGATGGAAAGAAATGCACAGATCTCGATGTTAATATTCAAATAGAAGCTGCAAGAATTTGACACTGAAGTCTGTTTGCAAAATCATATCTTTGTACAGAAAAGAAACTACTCAGACAATACTCACAGATCTTAGGTTTGTCTTAATCCCTGTCACTGGAGGGTCAAAACCTAATTTCAAAAATGTTAATGCATGAGAGCTAGTTTTCTAGTTTCTCTAATGTTTTCTCATTTCAAATGTATCCCTCCTTCCCCTTATCCTGAAGTTTATAAACTCCCAAAAGGGAAGGGATAGCTCAGTCATTCTACAAACATTTCCTGCACATCCTTCCTTATTACTAGGTAACATACTAGCCTTCCATTGTTATTTTATTCATTCTCTGACTCCTCAGCCACAATGTTAGCCCCAGGAGGGCTGGGTTTTCCATGGCTACTTTCATTTCTAGTGTCCTTACTTATGCCTGACACATAGTGGGTGATGAGGAACTATCTGTTCAGTTCAGGAGTAACTTTAATGCACCCTAAACCCTCTGCTAAAGACTAGAGAGAGGGAAATAATGAGATCTCCACCCTTTCTTCAATTCCCAACATGATGGTAGAACTGCCTGCAAGAGATTCGAGCTCAGGTCATTAAGAGCCAAAAGCCAGGGAAGAGGAGCAGGCGCCCTTCCTGCAGAGAGATGTGGGAAGGAAGCTGGGGAGGTGAGCCTTGTATTGAGCCAAGTAGCAAGCAACTGAGGGGGGCTTCACAGAAAAGGCAGGCTTGCGTGGGTCTTTAAGAACAAAGGGAGTTTCTCATCACAAACAGATCTGGCAGGTGCAAGCAAGGAAGGGACGCTCCAGGAACCAGCATGCCTCGGTGAGAAGATGCAAAGTCTACATGTGCGTAGAGAACAAAGGGTAGAAGAGGCAAGGCTAGAATATTAGAACTGTGTGCCAGCTAAGGATTGTGACTTTGGTCTGTCGGAGGCTGGAAGGATTTTTTAAAAAGATTTCAGGCACTTTAGCAACATGATTCAATTGGCAATTGTGGCAGAATAAAGGAGAGAGGAGAAGGGAAGAGATGGGGGCCGGGGTGAGTTAGGAAAGCCCTGGCAGGGGTGAGTTAGGAAGGTTCTGGCAGTAGACCCAGCAGAGCAGTAGGGGGAGAGGAAGGAGGAAGAATTCAACTTAAAAACAAAGGAATCATGACTGCTGGGGATGAGGGTGTGCGCAGAGAGTGAAGGTCAGGAGAAATCTGGGCTTCTGGCTCAAGAAGCTGGGTGAACCATGGCACTATGAAACTATTCACAGGAAGAAGACAAAAATGGGAGTGAGGTTGTTGGGACATTAGACGCGAGTGCGCATGGGTGAGGGCCCAAGTGGGTCATCAAGCAGTGCTTCCTGTCTTCAGCGTCTGCAAAAGGCTCTCTCAGGTCTGCCATCATCCAAAACCCAACTACCAAGAATACCATTTCTTGCTTCAACCATCTCTCCTGCCTCTCAGTCTGCCTTCCACTGTGTATGCAGAACTCTCCTTCCGTCCTGCTTTTCAAGCTCTGCTTCTTTGTCCCTGCTGATCTTGTGGACTCATTCTATAAAGTCAGCATCACATCCACATTTTTGTTGCCTCCAAACTGAACACATGCACAGCCAGGCACCAAGGAGATCTGCCAGCTGTTTTGCTAAGTTGAACCACATACATGAAAGGTTCAAAAGAAGAAAACTTTTCTGTAGTTGTTACATTGTTTACAAAACTTTCTTAGCTTGATACCTGCACTAAGGAAATTCAGGAACACATGAAAAAAATAGAAATTAAAATAAAAACTACAATTGCTTCTGCTTGTGGGGGAACTTGTCATCTCTGAGCTTGGCTGGTTCAGCTGCATACCATCATTAGACCCCAGCCTTCCAGGATAGCTGGTAGCCCTGGTGGTTTGAAAATATTTTGGAGTTGGGGGTTGGGAGAAATGAGAGAAAGCACTCACCAGCTTCAGTCAGGGACTTTTGAAAGGACAAAGTGACAATGGGACTTGGACCCCAGGGGCATGAAGGAGAACAATTCCCCAGAAGATGGCTAGGCAGCCTCAGCCCATTCACACGACTCCTTCCTAAGTCACAGGAGGCTCCTAGAGACTGTCTTTTCAGATAGTCCATTACTGGAGGATTACAATCTTAAAAATTAACTAGACCCCTTATGAGAGGGACCAGATTGAAGACAATATGTTGCTTTGTTTTCCTGGTTCTCTTCCACTGCAAACAAGCCTCTAAAAATGTTTTGCAGAATGAAATCGTGAATCATACAGGAGGGAGCAGTAAAGTCCAGATGAAGGAGAGGCTGCTGGTAATAAGCTTACAAGAGGATGCTTCCAAAAAGAAGTCCAGGAAAGGCACTCATTGCAAGTGCTGAAGGGTTTGCAGTCCTACAGTCACGAGAGTGTGCAGAGAGATGAGGAACAGAAATCCAAGGACTCAGAAAACTGTGAGGGGGGGGGTATAGGAGCAATGGTGGTGGGAGGGGGGGCACAAGCACTGCATCCCGAACACTGTGAAGTATCCCCTATACCAGGTCCTGGAATAGGGTGGGTTTCTTGCCTTAGTGGGCACATGGAAAGCTCGCAGGCAGATACAGCCAGCCTTTTACCTTCTGGCACCTAGACCATCGCATCATAGAGGTGGACAGTGATGTCAGTCTTCAGCTTTAGACATCACAAAAGCAAAACTGCAGGACCCAGAAGGCCAAGTGAGTGAATGAACCAGCCAGAGCCATTCATCTGGAGCTCACAATTGATGGAAACCTGGATACAGACAAATATTTCTCTGCCCTCAGGAAATCTGCAGTGTAAGAGGATGAGAGGATGATAAAGGGCTCCTGGCTCTCAGCCTCAGTGTTGGAGGCCACTTGGGTATGGTGGGAAAGGCAAGCTACATGGTTTGTGTTAATGGTGGGGTCACACTCCCTAAGTTATTGTTCGCAAAGGAGACTGAATACCTTGGTGGCAGCCACATCTGATTTTCTGAAGAAGATACACTAATTTTTATATGATGCCTGTTCTATAAATTTTTAAATATTTAGATTTTTTAAATAAGCAAACAAAACACCTGGTTATAAACCATCAATTTATAAATCATTAATTTAAGCTCATAAATCATCAATTTAAAAATCTCTGATGTGGTCCAATATTCTCTTATTTTATAGATAAGGAACAGGCCCAAGGGGAAGGGTCTTCCCCTCTTACTCTGTTGCATTGCGAACTGGGGGCAAGAGAACACCTAGATTTCAGCTTTGCCCAAGTCCAGGTCTCTTGCCATCTCCAGTGGGGCTAGACTATTTCTCTGTGTGCTTTATCCTCCACTCTCAGAATCTGCCTGAGCCTCTTACACCAGACCTATTATCAAGAGCACCACTGCATTACCCGAGTGGGAAAGCATTCTGTGCACCACATGCATTACCTGCCCAAAACAACAAAAACAACAAAATACCTTACCTATTCCCAAGGGCCTGTAGTGGTTGAATGGAGGCTCCCCAAATATGTTCATGTCCAACCAGCAGAACTTGTGATGCTATGAATGCTATCTAATTTGGATAAAGGCTCTCTGCAGATGTACTTAAGTATGTTGAAAGGAGATCATTCTGGGGCCCCAGGGGACAACAGAATGATAAGTGTCCATATGAGAGAGAGCCAGAGGATGATCACACAGACAGAAGAGGGAAGGTAAGTGTGATCACAGAGGCAGAGAAGGGATTGATATGGCCATAGGTCAGGAAGTTCTGGAAGCCACCAGAAGCTGGAAGAGGCAAAGAATGGATTTCCCCCTTAAGGTCCCAGAAGAAATGTGACCCCACCAATACTTTCAGAGTTGTGGCTTCCAAAACTTTGAGAAAATACATCTCTTTGTCTTAGCCTTCTAGTATTTGGTAATTTGCTTGAGCAGGCCTGCCTTCTACTAGGGGACAGAATTTTCCTGTGAGACCCATAACAATGACTGCATTTGTGGGTACTTCAAGCAAACCAGGTTCATGTTTTTTTCAATCAATCCTCATACCACTCTTTAAAATTGGGCTTTTCTCTTCTCCTGCCCCTCCCCCATACAACAGACAAACCAGGAAACAGACCCTGAGAAGCCATGCCTAGGTAGGAGAGCACCACACTTCATGTATGGAACTCCCTCCAGCAAGCACTGCCACCTGACAGGACACTTCCTTAGCTCCAGGGAGCGGTGCTGGTGGTGGGTGTCTCCATTGTTGGAACAGATCCGTGCAGACATTTTATTGTGGATGATGGCCAAGTTTCTTAGGTTTAATATTTTAGGATAAATTGTGCCAATATCAAAAAGAGGGTTGTGCCTGGCACACAGATCTGTGGGCAAGTGTGCACCATTTTCAGATACAGCATTGCTGAACTGCAGCCTAAGATGAATCACCAAGAGGAAAACCCCTGGCTGCTCATGCATTGACAATTTCATTTTGTCAGACCTCTGGGAACAGCTACCACATGAACACATGAAGTCAGGAAAAAATGACTTCACACTAACAGAGCAAAGGGTAACCATAGGTTGAGCAAAAGTGGGCTCCGTTTTATTAGAGAAAGGGGAGGTACTCGGAATTGTATGATATCTGAGTAGCGAGAATCCTTTGAGTAGTAGATCTTAGGGAAATAAGACTCAACGGTAGATTTTAAATAGCAATCTTGAATACTTAGACAATTGAAGTTTATCTTGCTGAGTCTCAATTTGCAAATCTGAAAAATGTCAGTATGGAAATAATGTGTACATATTATTTGGAACAGTATGTGGCACATATTTGGTTCTTATTAAACAAAGGTTATTAAATTGTTATTATTGCTAACTGTCCTTGACTCATCCTCTGCTTTATTATACAAAATTTGGACTCAAATTTATAGAAGGAGATTACAAAAATCATCCAATCACCAGTTTAATTTCTCTTTTTATAGTTGTATGAAGAATTGCATTTCCACATCAGAAATAAGCACCCTTTCAAATGATCTTTTAAAATAACCTGTTGCGAATATACATAAATTAATTCCACATATAATAGTCTTTCGATTGACTTGAAGATGTGAAACAGACTTGTTAGAGGAGAAGACATCTATAAAGGTTGCACTCACTCACCCACCAGATATTTATGAGGAACATCCCAAGAATAATACAAACTATAACAATTGCTCTAGGAGTTATGTTAATATGCTGTGGGATTTTGAACAGAAAAATACAGTGAAGTTTGCAAATTAAAAAATTAAGTGCAAATTTGAAAGGGAAAATCCCCTTCCAGTATAATGTGGGGTTGGAGACAGGAGAAACGAATGAAAAGGAAGAAAGCCTGGCACAAGGAGCAGCCTGGTGAAGGAGGCAGCCATCTAGTTGAATCTTAGCAAAGCCAAATTTTGACACAAACAGCAAGAATCTTCCAAAGAACACTGGAAAACACTAAGTGCCTGTGGAATGCAGCAAATAAGTCTGTTTTGATGATGCAATGGGCATATAAAAATGAATATTTGGTTTAATATTGGAAAGATAGGTAAGAAGAGACCCTCAATATGACCTGAGCACTTCAAGCTTATTTGTTAGATAGCAGATGTCGTCAACATACTTAGTAAAGGAGAGAGACGACCATTCTGTTAGTCACTATGTAGTATTGAAGATGGCAGCAGAATGACCAGTTAGGAGATTAGGTAAACATCTAGGAGAGAGAAAAATGATGATCAACTAGGGAGTGAAAGGAGGAGGGAGATGAAAGGACAATTAACTGGCTGGTTGTGGCGGGCCAAAGAGAATCAAAGTGACTCTGATGTTTAAAATGAAAATATCTAAAAACCTGATGAAGGGACACAACAAAGGGCAGGGTATCTGCAAGAATGGATGTTTATATGAGATGCCTAGGGAGTCCCTCATGCAATTGAAATAGAGAAAAAGCAAAACACTATTAGTTTAGAAGAAAGCGGGCATCTGGAGATTGAGAAGGAGATTTCTACATCAAGTTATGACCAATAGCCTTGAGGAAGCTTCAGATTACAAAAGAAAGAAAAGAAAGACATGCAAGCTGGCACTTGAGGGCAACATCTAATTTCATGGTGTTGGAAGAGAAAATAACATGCAAAGAAAGGTCAATCTCTATAGCTAAAGTCTTAAAAAATGAAAAAGATAATGTATAAATTAAGACTTTAGAGAAAGCTATGCTTTTGGTGATCTGTTTCCCAGTGAGGAATGCCTACCCCACCCTTGTCCCTTCAGCTAGCCAATTCCAGTGCATCCACGAGGCTTACTATAAACATTTGTGAAGACATCCAATGTTGTGTCCTAAGAAAAGTTAGTTCTATTCTCTTTTGTAGGAATTCACAGTGTGCATTATCATTTCTCCCAGCTATGTGGTCCTATGGTAGGCATTCTCCAATGTTTGCTGATAGGTGCCAGGGTTAGCACTGGCATTGCTAACAGATGGATCTGGTCTTGATCAGCAGGAATGATACTTTTCTTCTAAGATAGACAAGAAAAACTTTAGCTTTGGTTTCTAGGTATCTAGGCTTTTCAAGGGCCTCACAAATATTTGAGGATAAACAATTATTTTTTAATCTCCAAAATATGAGAAGAAAACTTAAAAGTAAAAAAAAAAAAGTTTAAATAGCTACAAAAGGTATATCAAATAGTCAACTGTAATTCAAGTCAAGTTTTCTATAATCACATATAAGTGTGATTTAAAGTGGGATATGAATGCTTTAACTGTATACATAATATAAAACACATTTGTTACATGGTTTCAGGGGATGCATCCAACAGTATGCATGCAGAGAACCTGGGGGACCCTCAGCCATCCCGAGAGAAGACCGCAGGAGAAATATGGAGCAACAGAGGAGGGAAGTAACTATGCATACCTCACAGGCACTCTATACTGACCACTTTATTCACATACATCATTGAAATAAAGGCTTGAGGTTATAGTAAAAACTGTGAGAAACTAATCCCATAACACTATTTTCTTCCCTGAGTCTGGTCATTACCTATGATTCATCCTTGTTTCACTTGCAGTCAAGGCTGATATGAAGGCAAGTCTACCAATCATGTCCTTGACCTTGAGAAGTAGAGAATAGCCATTCTATCCTATCAGCCCAAACCTCACAAATAAGCAATTAATTATTATAAAAAGTTTAAATTTTTAATAAACAGCTGTAGACAGAACAAGCTCTCAACATCCCACAAAGAATAATTACTATGTTTCTGGAAACAAGCACTGGCTTGCCAGACAAGTTGGTAGGCAGCTTCCATCCTATAGCAAATCTATATACTTAGTTTTATTATCTTTACAAAATACATTAACAAGGTAATAGCAATATGGCTGCTGAAAAGATGCAATGCTTAGATGAAGCCCTAAGGGAATTTTATGAAGTGAAACAATCAGATAAAAGTAAGCAGAGCCTTTTCCTTAAAAAAAAAAAATCCAATGAAGATTTTTTATTAATTTCAGATTTAAAATTATTAAAAATGGGACTACATGCACAAAATATAATCTCATTTATGAAAATGACAGCTCCAAATCCTATTTCAAACCCAATTTTCAATACATGGAAGTTGTTCATGAGCACCTGAGTCACACTAGGATATTCTTGTTAAAATTACCACAGTCTGTGGAGAAAATTAACTTTCTGAAGTACCCCATAGGTGTAAAAATTATAGACTTTTTAAAAATGAACATTCAATTTTCTAAAATATATTCCTGGGTTTTGCTAATACTGTGTATTTAAATAAAGCATGCATCACTGTATTAAACATATATAGATTTAAACTGTATATAGTTTTTAATATAATATGGTATGATAATTTTATACCTGACCTTATATCCATTTCTCCACATATGCATCTTTCTCTCTGGCTATTTAAAATGAAAAGTCTCACGGTGTTTTATTAATGTTTCTCTAAGAAGAAAAAGGCAGAGGCAACTGCCTTCCCTCGCAATCAACTGCTACCCATTATTTTCAACAATTTTCATCATGAAATTGCATTTATGAAATGAACCAACCAAGGAGAGGTGGATATTATGAGAAACCAAAATGAAGAGGCAAAGATAAAGTCAGAATCCAGTGATCATTTCTAGGGGCAAATGTAAGGTTAAGTTTGTTTTTGAATAATCAAACATTCTTCTCAACCTTTTGTGTGTTGTTCTATAGTAAAAATGTGCCTTGGAAGACCTCCTTTCCTGGAAACCAACCAAAGATTCAGGAATATATGTCAGCTTCATCTAACTGCCCTCGGATTGGCAAAGGGGCAGCCATCAAGCAGAGTGACAAGGAGTGTCCATCTGGCATTTGTATTTGCCCCATTTGCAATTTCATGGTTCTCTCTGTTGGCGTCTATGTTGAGGAACTTCTATTAATGATCAACAGGCTATGTATAAGGTACTTAGTATGCTTTAAAAACTTTTTTTTAAGATATATTTATTTATTTATACAAGCACTGGGTACAGTCAGAAGCATGGGAGAATGAGAGAATTCACCAGAGCCAAAGTGGGGAACGGAACAGGCAGACCGACGAAATACACTGCTGAGGGGAGCAGCGGGAGAGGCAGGAGAGGTCTGCGTGCCATGTGGGACCCTCACCAATGGCCGGGGATCAAACCAGCACTGCAGAGGCTGCAGGCAGCTTCGTAGCCCAGCGCTCAACCGCTGTGCCACCGGGGAGGCCCATGCTTTAAAAACTTTTTTTTTTTTTTATTTATATTGTTTTATTTTGCATTTATTTATAAAGTTAAGATTTTTTCCAGATATTTACTTTTCCCCTTCTGTTATGCATTCACATCTCTGTCAATTTTTCTTCAGGATTGGTGTTTTTTTTTTTTTTTATAATAAATTTTATTTTTATAATCCCCATACAATTGCAGCCCCCCCATTCTGACCCAATCCCTCCCCTCCCCACCCCCGCCCCCCAAAAGTGTCTCTGGTTCGTAGTTTTTTGTTGATTTTGATTTTCACTTTCTTATAATTATTCGTTTTCCTGTTCCCTTATTTAAGTTTTCTAGATTCCTGCTATGAGTGAGACCATCCGGTATTTTTCTTTTTCTTTTTGGCTTATTTCGCTGAGCATGATCCCTTCCAGCGCCATCCATGTTGCTGCAAATTGCATGTGTTTATCTTTTTTGAATGCTGAGTAATATTCCATGGTATATATGTACCACATCTTCTTGATCCAGTCATCTATTTTTGGGCATTTGGGTTGTTTCCAAAGCTTAGCTATTGTAAACAGTGCTGCTATAAACATAGGGGTAGGTGTTCTTTGAATTGATGTTTTCTGTGTCCTTTGGGTAAATACCTGAGTGGAATTGCTGGATCATATGGAAGCTAGATGTTTAGTAGGTCCAGAAATCTCCACACAGCTCTCCACAGTGGTTGGACCAGTTTGCACTCCACCAACAGTGCAGAAGAGTTCCTTTTTCTCCACACCCTCGCCAACATTTGTTGTTGCTAGTTTTTTTTAATATGTCATTCTCACTGGTGTAAGATGGTATCTCATGGTAGTTTTGATTGCATTTCCCTGATGACAAGTGATGTTGAACATTTTTCATATGCCTGTTGGCCATTTGCATTTCCTCTTCAGAGAAGTTTCTTTTTAGTTCTTCTGCCCATTTTTTGACTGGATTCTTTTCTTTGTTGTTGTTAAGTCTCATCAGCTCTTTGCAGATTTTTGTGATCAGTCCTTTATCATTAGTGTTGGGTGCAAAATGTTCTCCCAGTTGGTGGGGTTTCTCTTTGTTTTTGTTATTGTCTCTTTTGCTGTGCAGAAACTCTTTAATTTGGTGTAGTCCCAGCTGTTTATCTTCGCCTTCACTATCATTGCTTTGGGTGATGTGTCTGTAAAGATGTCTTTGATGTGTAAATCACGTAGTGTTTCGCCTATATTTCCTTCTATATATTTTATGGTTTCAGGTCTTATGTCTAGTTCTTTAATCCATTTTGAGTTGATTTTTGTGTATGGTGTGAGGTAGTGGTCAAGCTTCATTCTTTTGCACATTAGCGACCCAGTTTTCCCAGCACCATTTATTGAACAAACTTTCTTTGCTCCAATGCATAGTCTTTGCTCCTTTGTCAAAGATTAGTTGACCATAAATCTGTGGGTTTATTTCTGGATTTTCTATTCGATTCCATTGGTCTGTATATGTGTTCTTGTTCCAATACCATGCAGTTTTGATGATTAATGGCTTTGTAGTAGAGTTTTGAAGTCTGGGAGTGTGATGCCTCCATTCCCTTCTTTTTTTTTAGGAGCTTTGGCTATTCGGGGTTTTTTGTGATTCCATATGAATTTCATCAATAATTGTTCTATTTCTTTGAAGAATGACATTGAAATTTTGATTGGAATAGCATTGAATCTGTATATGCTTTTGGAAGGATGGCCATTTTAATAATGTTTATTCTTCCAATCCATGAGCAGGGGATGTCTTTCCATTTCTTTGTGTCTTCTTCTATTTCTTTTAACAGTGTTTTTTGTTTTCTTTGTATAGGTCCTTTACCTCTTTTGTAGATTTATTCCCAAATATTTGATTTTTTTGTTTCAATAAAAAAAGGGTGGTTTTTTTAATTTCTTCTTCTTCAGATTTATTGTTTGTGTATAGGAAGGCTACTGACTTTTGCGTGTTGATTTTGTATCCTGCCACTTTACTGAACTGATTGATGAGTTGAATTAGTTTTTCTGTGACTTTTTTGGGTTCTCTATGTATATATCATATCATCTGCAAATAGTGATAGTTTGACTTCTTCTTTCCTATTTGGATTCCTTGGATGTCTTTCTCTTGTCTTATTGCTCTGGCTAGGACTTCCAGTATTATATTGAAAAGCAATGGTGAGAGTGGACATCCTTGTCTTGTTCCAGATCTTAATGGAATTGCTTTCAGCTTTTCACCATTGAGAATGATACTGGCTGTTGGCTTGTCATAGATGGCCTTTATGATGTTGAGGTATGTTCCTTGCATCCCAAGAATTTCAAGGGCTTTTATCATGAATGGGTGTTGCACTTTGTCGAAAGCTTTCTCAGCATCTATTGATATTATCATATGGTTTTTATATTCTTTTTGTTGATGTGTTGGATAACGTTTGATTGATTTTCGGATGTTAAACCATCCTTGTGTCCCTGGAATGAATCCTACTTGGTCGTGGTGAATTATCTTATGGATACATTGTTGGATTCTGATAGCTAAAATTATTGAGGATTTTGCATCAGTGTTCATTAGGGAGATTGGCCTGTAGTTTTCTTTTTTGTGTTGTCCTGTTTGGTTTGGTATTAGTGTAATGTTGGCTTCATAGAGAACGTGTTTGGTATTGTCCCTTCCTTCTCAAATTTTTGGAAGGTTTGTGAAGGATAGGCACTAATTCGTCTCTGAATGTTTGGTAGAATTCATTTGTAAATCCATCAGGTCCCGGGCTTTTGTTTTTTGGGAGGTTTTTTGATTACCATTTCAATTTCGTGCTTGTAATTGGTCTGTTAAGGTGTTCTATCTTCTTTATCTAGCTTTGGGTGATTGTAGAGTTGTAGGAATTTGTCCATCTCCTCTAGATTGTTAAACTTGTTTCCTAAAACTTTCATAGTAGTTACTGATTATTCTTTTGATTTCTGCTGTGTCTGTTGTGATTTCTCCTCTTTCATTGATGATCCTGTTAGTTTGTGCTTTCTTCCTTTTTTCCTTTGTGAGCCTGGCTAGGGGTTTGTCTATTTTATTGATTTTTCAAAGAACCAGCTCTTGGTTTCATTGATCTTTTGGATTGTTTTTTAGTTTCAATTCATTTATTTCTGCTTTGTTTTTTTATTTCTTTTCTTCTACTGGTTTTGGGTTTTTTTGTTGTTCTTTTTCTAGATCTTGAGCTTCGAGATTAGGTTGTTTCTTTGAGTTCTTTCTTGTTCTTGATGTGAGCTCTCTATTGCTATATATTTTCCTCTTATTACTGCTTTTGCTGCATCCCATACATTTAGGATATTTGTGTCCGCCTTGTCGTTCAATTCAAAGAATTTTTTAATTTCTTCTTTGATCTCCTCATTAGTCCAATGGTCTTCCAGTAGTGTGGTTTTTAATCTCCATGAGGTAGGAAAGTTCCTTGCCTTCTTTTTATGGTTTATTTCTAGTTGATGCCTTCATGTCAGAAAAGATGGTTGATATGATTTCAATCTTGGTGTATCTTGATGTTTGTCTTGTCCCCAGTATGTGATCGATCCTGGAGAATGATCCGTGTGACTTGAGAAAAATGTGTACTCCGTTTTTTTGGGGTTTAGTGTTCTATAGATGTCTGTTAAGCCCAATTGCTCTAGGTCCTTATTTAGAGCTTTGGTTTCTTTATTTATTTTTTGTCTTGTTGATCTATCCATTGTTGATAGTGGTGTGTTGAAGTCTCCCACTACGTATGTGTTTTCTCTGATGTCTGTTTTCAGAGAGGATAACAGTTGTCTGATATATTTTGGTGCTCCTTCGTTTGGTGAGTATATGTTAATGAGTGTTATTTCTTCTTGAAGTATTGTCCCCTTGATCATAATGTAGTGACCATTGGGGTCTCTTTTTATCTTTTTGAGTTTGAAATCTGTTTTATCTGATATAAGTATAGTTTCCTGCTTTCTTTTTTGGTCCATTTGCTTGTAGGATTGTTTCCATCCTTTAACTTTGAGCCTATTTTTATCTTTTGTAGCTAAATGTGTTTCCTGGAGACAGCAAAAGGTTGGGTTTTGTTTCTTAATCCAGGCTGCAACTCTGTGTCTTTTTTATTGAGAGTTTAGTCCATTTTACATTTAGAGTTAATATTGATATGTTAGCATCTGTTATTGCCATTGTGTTTGTCTTTCCTTTGATTTATTTATTTATTCTTTTAATAACTTTTTTTTTTTTTGGCCTTCTTTCATTGTTATTCGTCCCTCTGAGGTCTGGCTTTAGGACTCCTTGTAGTATTTTTTGGAGTGGGGTTTAGTTGCAATGAAATTCCGGAGTTTCTGTTGTCTGGGAAGGTCCATATTCTTTCTTCAAAGAGAGAAAGAGAGCTTTGCGGGATAGAGAATTCTTGTTGGCATCTGTTTTCTTGGAGTCTGTTGACTATGTCCCTCCATTCTCTCCTTGCCCGTAGTGTTTCTTCGGAGAAGTCTGATGTCAGCCTGATTGGTTTTCCTTTGAATGTTATCTGTTTCTTCCCTCTTGCCAGCTTCATTATTTTTTCCTTGTCCTGGATTCTTGGGAGCTTTACTATTATGTGTCTTGCTGTATTTTCCTTTCGTCGTGGAAGTTTGGTGTTCTTCTTGCTTCTTGTATATCAATTTTCAGCTCCTTCTTCACATTTGGAAGTTCTCTTCAATTATCTCTTTGAATATTTTCTCTGTTCCTACAGCTCTCTCCTCTCCTTCTGGTATTCCTATAACTCTTATATTTCCTTTCCTC